AGACTAGAACTAGCTAGTAAATACTATTTCTTAATTAGAAATAATTCTATTAGAGAAGCTAAAAATCGAGAAAATATATTCCTATATAATCTTAGTAAGCTCTAGAGAATTAATAGTTTTATAATATATAATATATCTTACTATTTTAAAGTACTAGTTAATAACTATAAGAATTATATTAAAATTAGAACTTCCTGCCAGGTTTTTATATAGTAATAGACCTATAATAAAATCTATAGAGATCTTATTCTAGGGTCTCTTAGGCTATAATAAACTACTAAATAAACTATATAGTAAATACCTCTTTACCTTAACTCTTTAGTAAATATTATATTCTTAATAATAATTATAAATATTTCTTTTTATATTCTCCTAATACCAGGATTTTCTAAGGAGCTCGAGAGTTTTCTTTATTTTATAGTATCTAGCTATTAGGTTATTATAATAAAGCTTTATAACTTCTTAATATAAAGCGGGATTATTAGGTATAATAATTCTTAAATAGTACCTAAATAGGCCCGAATTATTTTTCTAGATTTCTTTTCTCTTAGTATCTTTTTTACTAAGTCTCTATTTTATAATATTCTAATATTAAGAATTATTTCTCTGAGCTACCTGGATAATATTTAGAAGGAATTTAGATATAGAAGCTAGTACTATAGCTCTTTTAGTAGCTATATATATCTATATACGGGAAATTAGGTATTTATAACTATCTAATTCAAAAACTCGGGAAACTAAGAAGTCTTTAGTTCCATTAAGTAATATAGTTATAAATACCCTTATTACCTTAGCTATAGTAGTAAAGCCTTTAAGGTATCTTTCTATATCTTGCTTCTTAACTAATTTTATAGTTAAGAGATCTATAAGATAATTTATTTATTTGTTTTATAATAAATATTTCTTTTTAGCTATTATAAATATAATAAGTATTAAATAATGCCTATTTCAAAGAAAGAACTCTTTAGATATTTATAAGAACCTCTAAATTATAATTATAAAAGCTTTTTTTAATTTATTCTAAAAGGTTAGAAGCCAAGTTATATTAATAGGACCTTTTTTATAATTAGGTCTTTTACTAGGTTTATTTACTAGATTTGAGGCGCCTCTATAGTAAATAATATTAAAATTATATATTATAAGATATATTACCTAATATACTTAATAGCTCTCTAGATACTTTATTTCTATAAAGTATTAGAGGTTATTATAGTCTATAATAATCTTAATTATAAACCTAAACTCTTTAAGATAATAGTACTAATACTTAAAAGCTTTAATAATTATAAGTAGCTTTCTATTATAGGTATTATAGTTATATTTAGCTCCAGAGAGTTTCCGGAACTAGAATACTACTAGATACTAGTATTTTTTTAGGCTATTACTAGGATTAACTTATTATAAAATAGTATTAGTAATTATGAATTTTAATATATTAGTTTTAATATAAATCTTTTTAGAAAAGTCAAAATAGACTAAAACAGGTATTATAGTAAAAGCTTTTTTTAAAGTCTTAAAGCTTTTAGCCGCTTTATCTATTTATATAAAGAAACCGGATTTCTGGCTCTTTTCTATTTCTTTTAAGAGATCTATTAAGCCTATAATTACCTGAGAGTAATAGTAAATAAATCTATAATAGAAATTAGTAAATCTAAGAAATATTTGAATATTATGAAATAATTCTGGTTCTGGCTATTTAATAATACTATAGACCTATTTAGAATCCGTATAAATATCTTTTATTCTAATAAGAAAGCCTAAAAATTCGATTTCCTTAATATTAAACTTATATTTACTAAGTTTATAAAATAGATTATTTTTATATAGCCTAATAAGTATCTAGTAAATATAATTATAATATTTATTCTTATTTCGGGAATAAATAAGAATATTATTTAAATAAATAATTATAAAATAATCTAGGAGTTCTATAAATATAGTATTAATATATACTTGAAATATGGCTAGTATATTAGCTAGCCTAAAAAGTATTATAAGATATTTAAAATAGCTATAGCAGGTCCTAAAAGCTATTTTTATTTATATTTTTTATAAATTCTTATTTAATAATATATATTCTTAAGATCTAGCTTTATAAAGATCTTGGCTTTTCGGAGCTAGTTAAGGGTTTTATTAATAAGAGAAAGCAGATACTAATTCTTGATTATAACTTAGTTAAGTTTATAATAATTAATATAAAGGTATAATTCTTTATTTTTCTTGGGAATAAAAAGAATAGGTATTCTTACTAGGCTTTTATTAGGCCTTATCTAATATTTATAAAGTATATCCTATAAATATAGATATAATACTTCTAGTTAGGTTTCTAATAGATTATATAAAGGCCTATACGGGACTATACTATTTATATTAATAAAGTATTTAATACTATTAAGATTAGGAAGTTCTGAAACTTTATTAGGGTTAAAAACTTCTAAGAAGTCTTTATATTTATTATTCCGGAAATAAATAAGTATTTCTAAGGCCCCTTTCCGAAAGATATTAATTTATTATATTAAAAACTTCTATTTAGTATTACTAGAACTATATAATAAAGCAGAGACCTAGTAATTATTATAAATATATAAAGCCTACTATCTAGGATAGTTATATTTGCCTTTAGTCAAAAATAAAACTTGAAATACTAGCTTAGGGTACTAGTTAAGCTTCTTACTAAATTCTTTTAGTATTAGGATCTTAATATTATTAGGCTATATAGGTATATATATTTATTATTTCTTAATATAGTTTATATATTATATAAGAATTACTTTATAAAATTCCATACTAAAAATGAGGCTATAAGAGCCAATATTCTTATACCTATAGAACCGGAGCTTAAAAAGATATATCTTGTTATAATTATTTATAATAAATATTTTAAGATTATAGGCTTAATAGACCTTAAATCTATTTTTATAAAAGATTATAAACTTTTAGTTATACTTAGCTAAGGTAGTAAAGCCCTAGCTTTAAGCCTAATTATTATTAAGGAAGTTATAGTCTAATCCGGTATTACTAAGTCTATTATATATCTCTAAGATATTTATTTCTGGCTATATTAATCTTATTTAAATAATTATATAAAATAATATATCTTTTTTATTATAGCTAAAATTATTAATATTTAAGATTTAGTCTTTTCTTTTCCCTATTTCTTAGGAAAGTCTCTTCTAAAGTACTTTTTTATAGTAATAGTATTAATTTACTTCTATAAATGCCTTGACTTTTTTATAGTTTTGGCCTTATTAGGGTTTTACTAAGCCTATTTAATATATTTGAAATATTTTATATTTCCTAAGAAATATTTTTTCTATTTATAAGTCTAATAAATTATACCTAAAATAGAACTAGTATTTTATTAAGGCCTTAAAGGGGCCAAAGTATTACCTAAGAATTTCTTATATAATTTTCGGAACTTATTCTTCCTTTTTTAATAGCCTTATAAATTAGAATTTACTAAGTTAGAGTTCTTAGGGGCAGAATTACTTTTATTAGACTCTCTTATCTTTGCTTTCCTTAATTTGGGATAAATAGTATATTCTACTTTCTAAGCTTTCTTAAGCTATTTGGAAATAAATATTATCTTATTTTCTAAGAAAATAGATATAAGTATCTAATAAGTCTTATAGTTAGATAAAGTAGTATTAAGAGTCCGGACCTGGTCTCTTTTAGGATATAGGTTCTAGTTAATTTTAAGACTAATTATTCAAGTATATAACTCGGTAACTATCTTACTATTCTTTTAATAAAGATCTCGGAATTCCTTAAAGATGTTTTATTAATAGGTTTAAAGTACTTAGAGTATATTAGCTAAATAGGCCTTGAATTACTTCTAATAGACCTTATATAATAATAGGCTTTGCTTTATTATAGCCTTCCAAATATTATAAGGTTTGTCCCTAAGAGTACTTATAATAGAGTTAATTCTAGAAGAGTATCTATTATAAGTTTAAGGCTAGATCCTAAAGACTGCCTTCTAGGAAAATACAAATATCCTCTATTTCTTAAGGAACTTTCTATAATATAAGTTAGGTATTCGGACCTTAAGAAGCTTCTCTTGGTCCAAATATATCTTTAGAATATTATATAGTGGCTCCTGATAAATAGTATTGAGATTACTCTTAAAGCTTATTATATTAGGAAAGAAAGTGAGTTCTAACTCTATTTCAGGAAGTTCCCTAGTAGGAATTACTAAGGAAGAGAAAGTAGACTTATAAATAGAGTTTCTATAAGATATAGTAAACTATAAGATATTCCTGAGGGTACTCTTATATTACTCTAACTATAGGATATACTAGTTAATTATATCTATTAATTCTTGCTTTTATTAGAGCACTTCGACTTTAGTATATAAGCCCTATTCCGTAGCTTGGGTGGTAGTAACTCGGGTATTAATCTCGGTATCTTGATTATTACCGGAATTATTTCCGTTATTATTACTAGCTCTTGGAGGCTCCTGAAAGGCCCTATTAAAAGTATTAGACGAGCCTTTGCTATTACCTATATCGGGATTAATCTGGTCGACTTCCTCTATAGGAATAGCTTTAGCAAGGGGTTATATATTTCACAGATTTCGAAATATAATTACTTATCAAACTACCTTCTTTAAAGGTAGAGAGATTAGCTTATAAGATATTTATTAGTAAGTAATAAGATAATAGAATGAATTAGTATATTATAAAACCATAGTATTAAATTCAGTATAGAACTAATCTCTGTCCCTCCTATAAGGTCCAGGGAAGCCCCCTCTAAATAGGAGGCCCCGATAGCATATATATAATTAGTGATTTATAAGCCTAATACATATGATATAAACAGTGGTTAGTTGGGATATCGAAGGGCTGCCGAACTCCCTGATTGACACCCGCGATATCCGAGGTTCGTCACATGCCCTTAAGTCACGTGCGACCCTGCACACATCACAGTTCCCCTCGCCCCTGCAGAAAGAGCTTCCTGCTATATATACCCTCACCGGCAGAGTTACCTCCTATCCTCACCTTCCCTCGAGCTAGTGTCTCTCTATACTAGAGTACAAGGTGTATGTGGTGGTCGTAATCTGGAAGGTTATTAAGTGGGATACGGTGCGAAACAGAAGTGTGGTGGAGAGGGAGGCAATATACAAGTAGGGGGCATATTTTGGGATATATGTTACCATGGCCTGCTTGCAGGGCCCCTGGGAGTGAGATGTAAGCTCCTGGGGGAGAAGGATACTCCATACTAGTGGACTTCTTATTTGGGTAGCCTAGAATGGCTGTATTGCGACGAGGACGTCGTCTTTTGAAATCTGAAGGGGGGGACTTGTTACGTGGCACCAGTCACGTGGTGCCACTATACGTGACTTAGCGTGTAGCCAGTGCTTTTAGCCCGGCAGACAGCCTTCAGCTCAATTCAAGCTCTTTACCACTACTGCAATATTACCTTATTATAACAAAAGCCCAAGAATTTAATTTCTTTAATATTAAATATATATTTATTAAATTTATAAAATAGTTTATTTTTATATAATCTAATAAGAATTTAATAAATATAATTATAGTATTTATTTTAATTTTAAAAATAAATAATTATAAAATAATTTAGAAGTTTTATAAATATAATATTAATATATATTTAAAATATACCTGGTATATTAATTAGTTTAAAAGATATTATAAGATATTTAAAATAGTTATAATAGATTTTAAAAGCTGTTTTTTATTTATATTTTTTACGAATTCTTATTTAATATTATATATTTTTAAGATTTAGTTTTATAAAGATTTTTATTTTTTAAAGCTAATTAAAAGTTTTATTAATAAGAAAAAGCAAATATTAATTCTTAATTATAACTTAATTAAGTTTATAATAATTAATATAAAGATATAGCCTTTTATTTTTCTTAAAAATAAAAAGAATAAATATTTTTATAAGATTTTATTAAATCTTATTTAATATTTATAAAATATAATACTTTTAATTAAATTTTTATTAAATTATATATAAATTTATATAGGATTATATTATTTATATTAATAAAGTATTTATATTAATAAAGTATTTATATTAATAAAGTATTTATATTAATAAAGTATTTATATTAATAAAGTATTTATATTAATAAAGTATTTAATATTAATAAAGTATTTATATTAATAAAGTATTTAATATTAATAAAGTATTTATATTAATAAAGTATTTATATTAATAAAGTATTTATATTAATAAAGTATTTATATTAATAAAGTATTTAATATTACTAAAATTAGAAAATTTGGAAACTTTATTATTTTAAAAATATATAAATATTTCTAAGACTTTTTTTTCGAGAATATTAATTTATTATATTAAAAACTCTTATTTAATATTACTAGAATTATATAATAAAATAGAGATCTAAGAAGTTTATTATCTAAAATAATTATATTTGCTTTTAATTAAAAATAAAACTTGAAATACTAGTTTAGAATATAAGTTAAGCCTTTTTATTAAACTTTTTTCGTATTAGAATCTTAATATTATTAGGCTATATAAATATATATATCTATTATTTCTTAATATAATTTATATATTATATAAGTATTATTTTATAAAATTTTATATTAAAAATAAAGCTATAAAAGCTAATATTTTTATATTTATAAAACCGGAATTTAAAAGAATATATCTTATTATAATTATTTATAATAAATATCTTAAGATTACAAGTTTAATAAATCTTAAATTAGTTCTTATAAAAGATTATAAATTCTTAATTATATTTAGCTAAAGTAATAAAGCTTTAGCTTTAAACCTAATTATTATTAAAAAAGTTATAATTTAATTTAATATTATTAAATTTATTATATATCTCTAAAATATTTATTTTTAATTATATTTATTTTATTTAAATAGTTATATAAAATAATATATCTTTTTTATTATAATTAAAATTATTAATATTTAAGATTTAGCCTTTTCTTTTTCTTATTTCTTAAAAAGATCTTTTTTAAAATACTTTTTTATAATAATAGTATAAATTTGCTTTTATAAATACCTTAATTCTTTTATAATTTTGGTTTTATTAGGGTTTTATTAAGCTTATTTATTATATTTAAAGTATTTTTTTAATTATAAATTTAATAAACTATATTTAAAATAAAACTAGTATTATAATAAGGCCTAAAAGAGGCTAAAGTATTATTTAAGGAATTCTTATATAATTTTCGAAACTTTTTTTTTAATAGCTTTATGAATTAGAATTTATTAAGTTAAAATCTTTAAAAATAAAGTTATTCTTATTAAATTTCTTTATTTTTACTTTTCTTAATTTAGAATAAATAATATACTTTGCTTTTTAAGCTTTTTTAAGCTATTTAAAAATAAATATAAATTATTATAAGATCAGGTTTCTAGGCTTAGAAAACAAGATAAAATAGTTTAATTCCGAGAATTCTAAACTAAAAAAAGAAGCTCTTTAGTATAAGAGCTTTAGTATTCTAAATACTATAGCTATATATATTATTGCATAGTCACGTGACGCTAAATTTACTAGTAAAGTAATAGAATATAATATAAGTATTTAATAAGTTTTATAATTAAATAAAATAATATCGAGAGTTTAAATCTAATTCTTTTTAAAATATAAATTCTAATTAATTTTAAAACTAATTATTCGAATATATAATTTAAATTTTATTTTTATTTTTTAATAAAAATCTCGAAGTTCTTTAAAAGTATTTTATTAATAGATTTAAAATACTTGAAATATATTAGTTAAATAAGCCTTAAATTACTTTTAATAAATCTTATATACTAGTAGGCTTTATTTTATTATAGTTTTTTAAGTATTATAAAATTTGTTTTTAAAAGAACTTATAATAGATTTAATTTTTAGAAAAATACAAATATTTTTATTTTTTAAAGAACTTTTTATAATATAAGTCAAGTATTTGAATTTTAAGAAATTTCTTTTAATTTAAATATATTTTTAAAATATTATATAATAATACCTAATAAATAATATTGAAATTACTTTTAAAGCTTATTATATTAGGAAAGAAAATAGGTTTTAATCTTATTTTAAAGAATTCTTTAATAAGAATTTTTAAAAAAAAAACTTATAAATAAAGTTTTTATAAAATATAATAAATTATAAAAGATTTTAAAAAAATATTCTTGTATTATTTTAATTATAAAATATATTAATTAATTATATTTACTAATTATTACTTTTATTAAAATATTTCGACTTTAGTATATAAGCCTTATTTTATAGCTTAAATAATAATTTAGATATTAATTATAATATTTTAATTATTATTAGAATTATTTTTATTTTTATTACTAGTTCTTAAAGGCTTTTAAGGAACTCTATTAAAAGTATTTAAATAAGCCTTTATTATTATTTATATTAGAATTAATTTAATTAATTTTTTTTATAAAAATAACTTTAATAAAAAATTATATATTTTATAAATTTCGAGATATAATTACTTATTAAATTATCTTCTTTAAAAGTAAAGAAATTAGCTTATAAAATATTTATTAGTAAATAATAAAATAATAAAATAAATTAGTAAATTATAAAACTAATCTTTATTTCTCTTATAAGATTTAGAAAAGCTATTATAAGGCCTAAGCTCCGGGCTTAAAAAATAAATTAAAATAGCTTTATTCTAATAATACTAAACTAAGAAACAGGAGGGCGAAGACTCAATACCTGTACGCGGTGTCCTCTACGAACCTCCAGCTCTCGATTGAGAGTCTGCAGAGCCAAGATTGAGTCATATGACGACGACGAATATCCTCCTCCTCGCCGCCACTCCGCCCGCGGTACGACATATACGACTTCTAGTGGCCACTACGACGATAGGTTAACTAATACCTCACTGATAGAGCCTTAGTTCTGTCGCGTTCTGTTTGTATGGGCGAATCCGCCACCGAAATCAGAGTTTTTACCCTACTTTGGTTAATACGATAATACCAGAATACGAATATATTAGGAAGGGTTTTGGATTTAGTTGGAACGAAACGCATCGATAGTTACAGAGGACCTGGTTAGATTTAATATCTACTGTCTATTATAAGCGCCTCGAGCTTATAACTTCTCGCAAAGTACGAAGCCCCTTCCATCGCCACTCCTTTGGACCTCAATTTCGGTTACGTCGTCCTATTCTTCTTTTCGTACCCTTTTCTAGCCAGGAGAGCCTTTCTTGCAATGAGTAGACGTTTCCCACGCCTCTATGGACCTGGAATGGTGGCTAGCGGATTCACGACGCCAAGTTTACTCTCTATAACTACGAATATTGTGGTATTATATCGGGTCTCGAACTGAGGTTTGGGAGGGGGTATAAGGAGGATATTCGGGAAAGAGAGAGGTCGGAGACATAGCCTGGATACCTGCCCCTGTTACTGAATAGTATTAGGCTATATAATAGTCCGTTATCTCGTACCGTTGACTCTTGGATTTAAGATCTAGGACCGGCGAACGGGTTACGTTGTACTAGCTGGTTTTCATGGTTTTTCCTGGCAGGGCAGTAGACGCAAATGACTAGAGTTTGTCTAGTTGTATGGGTAAGAACGTATAGGGATAGTCTTCCTTAACTAATGTGCCGAATGGATATCTAGGGGGCTCTGTATTATTAAAGGAATTTGGATTAGTAATAGAGAAGAACATACTAACTGAGGTCAGGTATTCTGGCTCATAGGCAGAGAGGACCTATAGTACTATATAGTTGTAAACTAATAAAGCACGTTAAATGGAAAAAAAAAAATGGAAAAAAAAAGAAAAAAAAAAACTAAGAAACAAAATATATAAATATATAAATACTAGGCAAATATATAAACAAGTTTAGCCTAATATAGCCTAGTATATTACGAATAGGAAATATATAATAGCTATAAAATATACGAGATCAGGGCCGCTTTACTAAAATTAAAACCTGGCGGCCCTATATAAGCTCCGGGGCCAGTTTTAATTTTGCCCTAATCTCGATTCGAGATTAATTAGATAAAGCTCTCTCTCTATTTTTATAAATTACTATACTCTTTAATTATATTTATAAAGCTCTCTCTCCCCTTTTATAGGCTATTTTAAGCCTTACCTTTACTTATTAAGCTTTTTCTTATTTAATTTCCTCTCTTTCTTTTCCTTAATTATAGTTATATTATACTTATAAGCTCGTACTAATATAATATATAAGTATATAGGAAATATAAGTATATAGGAAATATTTTTTTAAGAGCTTTTATTTAAGTAATCCTCTATAGTTATAGGCCGGATTGCAAAGTTCAAGCCAAGCCTATACTTGCTAGTAGGAGCTCGAGCTTGGATTATATATTCTAATTACTCGTTTATAGCCTTCGGGCATGGGGAAATAGCTCTTTTTTACTTTGCTTTCCGGACCCGGTTTGCTTTCTTATTCCGTTCCCGGTATATATTATATATAAAGAACTGGCCAAAGTCCGTAAGAGGCTTTTTTCGATTACAAGAGGAGCAGTATTACTCTTACAGGCTCTCTCGGATCTCTTACAGGCCCTTCCAAGCCTTACTTGCCCCCGCAAGCCCCTTACCACCCGTACTCTCGCCCGTAACTTCCTCCCAAGCCTTACTCCCGCCTGCAGAGCCCTCCCTTTCCTCTTGCGGACCCTTCCAAGCCTCACTCCCGCTCGCAGAGCCCTTCCCTTCCTCCTGTAAACCCTCCCAAGCCTCACTCCCGCCTGCAGAGCCCTCCCTTTCCTCCCGCGAACCCTCCCAAGCCTCACTCGCACCCGTAAAGCTCCCTCCCTCTCGCGGGCCCTCCCAAGCCTCATTCTTACCAGGAAAACCCCCCCAGCCGTCTTACAAGCCCGTAGAGCTCCCTTCCTCGTCCGTTAAGCCTTCCCAGCTCTCCTCCCGGTCCGTATCCCCTTGCAAGCCCTTTACTAAGCTCTCCTCCCTTCGTAAACCCTTCCTTTTCTCCTGCAAACCAATATAGCTACTACCTATACTCGCAAAGCCCTCTATTTCCTTCTACGGGCCCTCCTTATTTGTCCAGTTCTCCTAATACTAATACGGGCTATCCCAGTACCACTTTGTAGTTATAGTATATTCCCTCTTCTTATATAAGGCCGTACGGAACTCTTATAGACCTACAGGACCTTCTCCCTCCCTTGGAATACCTTTCTAGCTCTTCTTTAAGGCTATAAAGTCCTCTTGACTCAAAGGCCCTAGCTAATACTTGTTCCGAAGTATAAAGCTCTCTATTTCCTGCTATATCATACCCTAGCTCTTCCCTCTAGCCTACTACTCTTGCCTTTTTTACTATTACCTTCTTATCTTCTTCTTTTATAATTATACCTGTAATGCCTTCTTAATAACCTACTATATCCGTATAAATTACTATACCTGTCCTTCCTTTAAAACCGGCTTGCCCTTTTGCCTATAGTAAGAATTACGCCTCTATATATAGTATATAGAGTATATTATGGCTCGAAAGTTAGATTAATCTAAAGAATAATCTGTAATTAGCCGGAAAGATTTATATTTGGAATAATAGAAGTATTTAAGAGGAAAAGAGGGGTTCTATTATACTTTTTCGTATTATTTATAGTTCGGATAAGGTATATCCAAGGTAAATTAACGGGCCTGATATAGAGGGTAAAAGATAGATATAGGCAAGAAAGTAGAGTATATATATTTATACTTGTCTATTATAAAAGTTCTATATATTTTAAGCTTTAGTATTCTTATATAGGTTTAAGTATATCCTTGAGCTTTAGTATTTATATACGGATATAAACTAGTTATATAGTAGTATCTGTTTTATATAGAAGATAACTTAGTATAAGATAGATAAAGATTATAATAAGAGCCTTCTTTAAATAAAAGCTTTTAATAATATATATATATATATATATATATTTAGTAATTTATAAGCCTAAAGCCTATAATATAAATAGTAATATAATTATAATATTAAAGAGCTATTAATTTCCTTAATTAATACTTATAATATTCGAAATTTATTATATATCTTTTAATTATATATAACTTTATATATATTATATAAATATATAAATAAATATTAGATATTATATAAATTATATAAAATTATAATTTCTAATTAAATAAAGGCTTTATATATTTAATTAAATACTAAAAAATATATAAATAAATACTTATAATTTAAAAAAAGATATTAATTAGTTTTTTTTATTAGAATTATTTATTAGAAATTAGTTATATTTATTAATATTATATTATAATATATTTATTTTAATTATTAATATATTATTTTACTATTTTATATTTATAATATTTTAATTAATATTTAAAGAAATATTATTTTATATTTTCTTATATTTAATAAAAATAAAAATTAATAATTAATTAAATTATAAGTTTAGTTAAAGGCTATAAATATACTTTATATAGCTTATTTAGTATTAATAATTGCTTTTTTTAATAATTAGATTTAGGCTATAAGAATTATATAAAATATAATTAATTTAAAAGTACTAAATTAACTCTTATTATATAGTAATAATTAGCCTATTTTTATAAATACTAAGAGCTTATATATTTCCCTGAATTAATCTTATCTTAATATTTCCGATAGCTGAATTATAAAGCTGAGTTTACTGAATATTTCAGGTTTATAGGCAGAACTGTAATTACCTAATTCTAAGAGGGCTTTACACCCGAAATCCGACAGGTTTTAACCACGTGCATACCAGCCTTGCAAAGTACGTCATCAACATCTGCCTGATGTTGCCTCTTCTGAATCAAAGCACTTTTCCTAGTAAAACCCGCCTCCAGAGTCCTCCATCCATATCTTCCCCAAGAGCGGAATCCTTGAAGGTAGAAATTCTCCACGTGATTGATATCGGTGTCAAGATGTCCTCTGACAATCATTCTTGTCCTACCCCGGCTCCTCAAACGGCTATAGGTACCACATACATCTACAACCCTTTAATATCGGCAGACTCTATCCGCTTGTTCAATCTGGAACCTAGAGACTCTGAAACCCCGCTTGAAGGCACGCTTATGACGGTTTCTCTTTCCGACACAGCACTGTCCTTTAGTGCACTCTCCTATACCTGGGGTAATCCACTCGAAGATGATAGTCAATTTTTTGAACCCTACGACATTAGCAAACACTATGTCTCCTGCGACGGAAAGCAGATTGAAATTACGGAAAATTTACGGGACGCGCTTTGGTAGCTGCGTCAGTTCAACGATATTTCGTACCTCTGGATTGATGCCATCTGTATCTATTCTCATCGACCTCGAGCGAAATACCACGGAATTATGAGGTTTTCACCTCGCTTTTGCGCGGGTGTTCGCTCCAGAACCCCGCTAGTGCTGTAAGAAAGTAATACGGGATCGAACCGCGCTGATCGGGAATCTAGGGCTAGATCGATTGGCTGATCCATGGTTTCAACCTTCCGGGACGTCGATGACTCATATCACATTCACCCTGTCGGGAAAATACTTTTCCGGTCCTGCAGATGGGTGCTGGCTGAAGAGGGAATTTGCATACTTCCTTTCTTGATAAGAAGAACTGGGACATCGAGCAATATCTCGGACTTGTGCCCTCCCCCTCACCCTTCCATCATCCATTGCTCCCATTAGCCTCTTTGACTTCCTACCATACTCTTAAACGCACTATCATCTTCAAATTAATTCTCGGAATAGCAGACCCACTAAGCACCGCCTTGGGGGTGCTGGCGTTGGCGATCCTTGACCTTCAATCCAGTCGAGTGCTCTACCAGACCATCGCAAACTTTCAAAGTAATCAAAGGACTGTGCGCCAGCTCAACGAAGAGCTCGAGGCCCTAAATGGAGTCTTAGAGGTGCTACAGGGAACGGCTACCAACGCGGATGTCGATCTCGCCATTCTGCGACTTCCCCTCCTCCGACGCGGCATGGCTTGTGATGACTTCGAAGCGCTGATTGCCAAATGCACCGCGCATTCTGGTGGACCCAAGACGAGTTTTAGGGATTGGACGAAGCTAAGATATATGGGAGACAATATCGATGGATTCAAGAATATGCTAGCAGGATAAAATTCCACAAATTACGATTGTGCTAGGTGACGCAACCACTAATCACAGAACGGGTTTATCGTAGACTATGCAATTGCATCGAACGGCTCTCAACTAGAATGACTTTTTATGAGCTGAAGACCGAAGGATCCGTTCCCCGGCTTTGCAGGGTAGACGTGGCAGCTTGTGATTGAAAGTTGACTGCCGCTATTGTACGGTGGCTGAGGGGAAAGCCAGTCAACTGGCGCCACCCAGATTGAACCTTGTACGAGGCAGACTTTGCGCGAAAATGTGCTGCACCAAATGCCCCCCTACAATTCTTTTCCTGCACAGCATTATTCTCAACAACGATGTGCGTGAATTGAGATCAATCGTCCACATTCATCTCTCTAACTCTCGATTCTCTTCCGATATGCTTGGAGGAACGAAGCCTTGGTAAATCCTAGGAGTAGATTTCAGCGCCAAGCACTTGTCTCCAGATGGCGATGCCTATTCGTCGCAAGCCAGTTCCTTCTTCACTATTGAGCTTGTCGGAAAACGAAAGGCACGAGACGTCGCTCAATCCCCAGCCGCCAGAACTACTACCTGAGACTTCGCCTGGTGTTTCAATACCGAGAGATTCCCCTTTGAGTAGAGGGGGTGTCAATGAGACTCTCCAAGCCAATCCCGGTCCTTCGATCTCGACCTCTCAAGATCCGCAACACTCCGCTACCAAGGCACCTCATAACAATGTTTATACCTGGCGTCCATTTATCCTTCGACGCAGAATACTTGTAGCTTACATTATTATCTTTGTTATACTATTCTCTGTCATCGAGACACTGTACCAGGTCTCGCAAGCTCACCAAGGAATTGCAACAACTGAGAACGGCAAATACTATCTTTGGACGTATGGACCAACTGCAGGTAGGCTTAGCTAGATATATTTTCCGAACAACACTAAACAAATAAAGCGTTCACTCTATTAGCCGCAATCTGGTCTCGGATCGAATACCGCGCCAAACAAACCTCGCCGTGGATAAAGTTGGCAAGCCACTCTGCTCCAGCTTCGAGAACTTTGTTATTAAACTACTGGGCCTACTTTCTTCCAACAACTACTATATACAAGGCGTTAAAAACCAATGATTTCTTGGTCGCTCTCAGTGTAATTGGCAGTCTAGCCTTCAAGATCATTACCGTCGTTTCAACGGGCCTCCTCACATTGGACAATCTCCTCGTGGAACAGCACAACGTCCCTTTGATCGCTTCTACTACTTTCGTGGGCGACGATGGGCGCCTGGGTGATATCGGAGATTTGCCCTTTTATGTCTATCAAGGAGTGCAGTTGGCCAACCTGCCTTACCCTGAAGGGACGAATCAGCAATTTGCCTTTCAATCGTTTCACTCTGCAAAAAATCAGAACGGATCCATCTCGAGAGCTGATTTGGACGCCTTCTCTGGTAACTTGGAATGCGAGAGAGCCCAGATGAACTTTGGAAACTGGGAGGTAAAAGTATACGCCTCAGAAAATGCCACCAACGTATCAACGAGCGGGCCTGATTTGCAACCAAACATAACGATTTCTATCCCTTCTTGCTCAATCAATTTTACCACGCCAAATCTAGGACCTTACTGTGATCGTCCAAAAATCCTTTCTAGGAACACCACACAAACTGCAATCGGGCCTATAGGGATTTATTCACTGTGCCGGTGTGCAAACTCTCAAGAATCGCGATTTGCGATCCTTGTTGGAGCTGCTATGCAAGGAGGATCGACAGTGGATGCAAACCCAACGGTGACATACAACCTCGTCAATTCTACCCAGCTAATTTGCTCGTCGACGTATGCTATTAACAGAGCTTTGATAACAACAAACTGGACACAAGGGACGGCGAGGGTAGAGTTACTTCCAGAAGCTGGAAACAGGACTTTAACAAATGTCACTGGACTTGATCTTACAAATGCCTTCGGCGAGACCATCGCAAGGGCAGTCGCAAGGGTACCCCTCGACTCCCTAAATCCCTTTTTGGGGCATCTCCACAATGCAGTTTCACAGGCTGGAAACCCGTCGCTCACCAACCTCATGTCCACGGACACGCTTGGAAATCTCTCCAACAGCTACTTTCGAACTCTGACAGCCCAGATAGCACGGATAGCACTTCTCAAAGGAGATAGCATCCCAATAACAGGGACATCATGGGATTTTGAGAGCCGTCTTGTTCTACGGCTCCTGTCAGTCCGTATCATCGAAGCAGTATTAATAGTTCTGCTTCTCTTTTCAGGGGCTATGATTTTCTTGATACCGAATAATGGGATAATGCCCCTGGATCCCGACTCAATCGGAGGGCTTGCAATTTTGATCTCGAAGAGTGCCGAGCTTAAGAGGTCCTTAACTGGGATGGGATTGTCACCATTAAGCAGTATATCCGACCGAATTTCTTCTAACAGATATCAGACTACGGTTACGTTTGAGGGAGCCCAGCGTACCTTCGAAATTCAACAGCCGGAACACATTCTCCAAGTCAGCCCCAACAAGCAGGAAGCGGAATCTCTATGTCCTCAGAATGATACAGTCACATGGTGGAGACCTTTCGGAGCAACCATATATGCACGACTATTAGCTTTAGCATCTGTTATAGCTACTGTGATTGCGCTTGAATTGGTCCTCCGAGACTCGCAACGACATGTCGGCTTTGCTGGTGTTGACCCAAAAGGCTATGGTCACTATGCCTCAGCATACATTCCTGCCCTCATAATGGTTAGCATTGGACTACTGTTTAGCGATCTAGATGACACCACAAAAGTATTTGCTCCATATTCAAAACTCAAATATGGTGGTGCATCTTGGAGTGATCTTTTCATAAACTATTCGAGGTTTACGAAAGTTGAGGCCCTATGGTTGTCTATAAAGAGTCGAAATTTGGCAGTGATTGCTACAAGTTCGGCATCGTTTCTTGGCAGCTTCTTGACGATCGTGGTCAGTGGTGTTTACGCGGTTAATAACGTTCCCTCGAGTCAAGCAGTTGAATTATCGATGAAGACATGGTTTAATGCCAGCGATAACTTAAATCTTCAAGCAGATCCATCTGCGATAACTCTGGCATCGCTGGTAGCAGTAGCTAATCTTTCCTATCCGGCATGGACGTATGATGAACTTGCATTCGCTACTCTTGAATTGACGACTTCGAACATGGCCACTGAAAATCGGGCCACAATTTCAGCAAAGATCCCAGCGGTACGGCCACGACTTGACTGCACGTTATTGGTAGGAGACAACAGCAGCATTGGAAGCACCCTGACTTGGTGTTTACCTCCAACCGAGTTCTGTAGCGGAGCCAACCTCTTTGTCAATTTTACACCACCACCAACGCCACTAGGAGGATATTCCTGTGGAACCCGAACTTCGAGCGTGGGAACGGTTTTCTCGAATAGTATTTTTGGCTACGATGATCAATTTTTGGAAAATTGCCATACTTGGGTATGGGGTAGCATTGGCGCTTCATCCATCGAGAATATTGCGGCGCTGTCCTGCCATGAGGATGTTGAACAAATCATGGTAAACACCACGCTATTGTTCCCATCTCTCGCTATCGACAGCACGCAACCGCCCATCCCAGATGAATCAACAGCGCAACATTCCGCTACATTTATAAGTATGCCTCCAACCTATACATTCTGGCTTGCCAATATCACTGGAACTTGGTCCAATGAGACAAGCTTCGACCAATTCTTCAATATTCTCGCTGCAAGCAACGAAGCGCCACCTCTGCACTTCTTCTCTAACCCAAGTCTTGCCACAAATGTTAGTCATGTAATCCAGCACCTCCATAAAATCTTACTCGCACAAATATACGGATATACGGGTCCCTCCCCATTTACAGGTCTCTCTCCATATTCGTATTTCTCTATGCGCATCAACTCGACAGAAGGCGCAGAACAGACCACCTTCACTGGCACAGCAGTGGATCCAAATTCAGAAAGACTGGTGCAACGTGTCCCGTCGACAAGAACTCTTCAAGCTCTATTGGCAGCCATGGGGCTGTGTGTTTTGATACAGAGCGCCTTTCTCAGGACTAAGGATGTTCTCCCGAAGGACCCAAGAAGTATAGCTGGGCTGGCGAGTTTACTGGTTGATTCTGAGATGTTGGAACTGGTGCAGCACGAATGTGATCGAAGGGGAGGGCCAGCAAGGCACGCGTTAGAGGGGCGGCTCTTCGGAATAGGGTGGTTTGAGGGGGAGAAGATAGATAATATGGCGGTGATGGAGGGGTTGGTTGCGAAGGAGCCAGGTGTTAGAAAGAGGAGGTTTACTATTGATGTTATCTCGTAGAAACAAGGGCTATAATATAATAATGTAAATTGAACAGATATCTGTCGTGAACACATATCCAGAGTTTATGAGGTAGTGGGAGGAAAGATACAAAAGCCATGAGTACGGCACTATTACAGAAGGTCTATCTTTGTAACTAGCGTATCAAAAAATAATTAAGGTAATTAATTATATTTAATTAAATTAAATTTCTAATTAATTATAATTTGATTATCGACTTCCTAAAAAAAAATTATTTATTTTTAAATTATATAAAACCCATATAAAAGTTATATAAGTAATAAATTCTCTTTATTTTCTTTAAATAATATATAACTAAAGTATAAAGAGAGTAAAAGTTAATTAATTTCTAAAAAAGAAAGAAGGAAAGCAAGGTAACATATATATAAATTATTTGTTCCGGATATTATATAATTATATTATATAAATAAAGAAGCTAAAATTCCTTATTATAATACTTATTTATAAAGATAAATAAAGTAAATAAAGGCGAAATATTAGCTATTAAGCCTATTATAATAAGGCAATATCTAAATTAGAGTAAAACTATAATGTATATAGGGTCGCACGTGACTTAAGGGCATATAACGAACCTCGGATATTGTGGGTATTAATTAGGGAGTTTGGTAGCCCTTTAATATTCTAACTAACTACTATTTATATTATATATATTAGGCTTATAAATCACTAATTATATATATGCTATTAGGGCCTCCTATTTAGAGGGGGCTTCCCTAGACCTTATAGGAGAGACAGAGATTAGTTTTGTACTAAATTTAATACTATGGTTTTATAATATACTAATTTATTCTATTATCTTATTATTTACTAATAAATACCTTATAAGCTAATCTCTCTATTCTTAAAGGAAATAGTTTAATAAGTAATTATATCTCGAAATCTGTAAAATATATAACCTCTTACTAAAGCTATTCCTATAGAGAAAATTAACTAGATTAATCCCGATATAGATAATAGCAAAGGCTTATCTAATACTTTTAATAGGGCCTCTTAGGAGCCTCTAAGAGCTAGTAATAATAATAGAAATAATTCCGGTAATAATTAAGATACCGAGATTAATACCTGAGTTACTACTATTCAAGCTATAAAATAGGGCTTATATACTAAAGTTAAAGTATTCTAATAAAAGCAAGAATTAGTAGATATAATTAACTAGTATATCCTATAATTAGAGTAATATAAGAGTATTCTTAGAGATATCTTATAGTTTACTATATCTTATAGAAACTCTATTTATAAGTTTATTCTCTCTTTCTTAGTAATTCCTATTAGGGAACTTCCTAAAATAGAATTAGAACCTATCCTCTTTTCTAATATAATAAGCTTTAAGAGTAATCTTAATACTATTTATTAGGAGCTACTATATAATATTCTAAAGATATATTTGGACTAAGAAAAGCTTCTTAAAATCCGGATATCTGACTTATATTATAGAAAGTTCTTTAAGGAATAGAAAATATTTATATTCTCCTAAAAAGTAGTCTTTAGGACCTAGCCTTAAACTTATAATAAATATTCTTCTAGAATTAACTCTACTATAAGTGCCTTTAGAAACAAATCTTATAATACTTGAGAAGCTATAATAAAGTAAAGCCTACTATTATATAAGGTCTATTAGAAGTAATTTAAGGCCTACTTGGCTAATATATTCCAAGTATCTTAAACCCGTTAATAAGATATCTTTAAGAAACTCCGAGATCTTTATTAGAAAAATAGTAAGATAGTTACTAAGTTATATATTTGAATAATTAGTTTTAAAGTTAACTAGAACCTATATTCTGAGAGAAACCGGATCCGGACTCTTAATACTACTTTATCTAACTATAAGACTTATTAGATATTTATATTTATTTTCTTAGAAAATAAGGTAGTACTTATTTCCGAATAGCTTAAGAAAGCTTAGAAAGCAAAATATACTACTTATCCTAAATTAAGGAAAATAAAGATAGAAAAATCTAGTAAGGGTAATTCTGCCTCTAAGAATTCTGACTTAATAAATTCTAATTTATAAGGCTATTAAAAAAGGAAGAATAAGTTCCGAAAATTATATAAGAAATCCTTAGGTAATACTTTAGCCCCTTTAAGGCCTTAATAGAATACTAGTTCTATTTCAGATATAGTTTATTAGACTTATAAATAGAAAGAATATTTTTTAGGAAATATAAAGTATTTCAAATATACTAAATAGGCTTGGCAGAACCCTAATAAGGCCAAAATTATAGAAGAGTTAAGGTATCTATAGAAGTAGGTTAATACTATTATTATAGAGAAGTATTTTAGAAAAGATTCTTTTAAGAAATAGGGAAAAGAAAAGGCCAAATCTTAAATATTAATAATTTTAGTTATAATAAAAAAGATATATTACTTTATATAACTATTTAAGTAAGATTAATATAGCCAGAAATAGGTACCTTAGAAATATATAGTAGATTTAGTAATACTGAATTAGATTATAACTTCCTTAATAATAATTAGGCTTAAAGCCGGGGCTTTATTATTTTAGCTAAGTATAATTAAGAGTTTATAACCTTTTATAGAAATAGATTTAAGGTCTATTAAGCCTATAATCTTAAGATATTTATTATAGATAATTATAGTAAGATATATTCTTTTAAGCTCCGGTTCTATAGATATAAGAATATTAGCTTTTATAGCCTTATTTTTAGTATAGAATTTTATAAAGTAACTCTTATATAATATATAAACTATATTAAGAAATAATAAATATATATACTTATATAGTTTAATAATATTAAGATCCTAATACTAAAAGAATTTAGTAAGGAGCTTAACTAGTATCCTGAGCTAGTATCTTAAGTCTTATTCTTAACTAAAGGTAAATATAATTATTTTAGATAATAGGCTTTATATATTTATAATAATTACTAGATCTCTACTTTATTATATGGTTCTAGTAATACTAAATAGGAGTTTTTAATATAGTAAATTAATATTTTTCGGAAAGGGGCCTTAGAAATACTTATTTATTTCCGGAATAATAAATATAAAAACTTCTTAGAGGTTTTTAATTCTAATAAAGCTTTGGAACTTTCTAATCTTAATAGTATTAAATACTCTATTAATATAGATAGTATAGTCCCATATAAGCCTTTATATAATTTATTAGAGACCTAACTAGAAGTATTATATCTATATTTATAGGATATGCTTTATAAATATTAGATAAGGCCTAGTAAAAGCCTAATAGAAATGCCTATTTTTTTTGTTTTTAAGAAAAATAGAGAACTATATCTTTATATTAATTATTATAGACTTAACTAAGTTATAATTAAGAATTAGTATTCGTTTTCTTTTATTAATAAGACTTTTAATTAGTTTTAAGAAGCCAAGATTTTTATAAAGCTAGATCTTAAGAATATATATTATTAGATAAGAATTTATAAAGAATATAAGTAGAAAACAGCTTTTAGAATCTGCTATAGCTATTTTAAATATCTTATAATACCTTTTAGGCTAGCTAATATACTAGCTATATTTTAAGTATATATTAATATTATATTTATAGGGTTCCTGAATTATTTTATAATTATTTATTTAAATAATATTCTTATTTATTCCCGAAATAAGAATAAATACTATAATTATATTTACTAGATACTTACTAGGCTATATAAAAATAACCTGTTTTATAAATTTAGTAAATATAAATTTAATATTAAGGAAGTCGAATTTTTGGGCTTTCTTATTAAAATAGAAGATATTTATATAAATTCTAAATAGGTTTATAATATTATTAAATAGCTAGAACCAGAATTATTTTATAATATTTAAGTATTTCTTGAATTTACTAACTTCTATTATAGGTTTATTTACTATTACTTTTAGGTAATTATAGGCTTAATAGATCTCTTAAAAGAAATAGAAAAGGGCCGGAAATCCGGTTCCTTTATATAGATAAATAAAGTAGCTAAAAGCTTTAAGACTTTAAAAAAAGCTTTTACTATAATACCTATTCTAGTTTATTTTAATTTTTCTAAAAAGATTTATATTAAAACTAATATATTAAAATTTGTAATTACTAGTACTATTTTATAATAAGTTAATTCTAGTAATAGCCCAAAAAAATACTAGTATCTAGTAATATTCTAGTTCCGGAAACTTTCCGGAGCCAAATATAATTATAGTACCTATAATAGAGAGCTACTTATAATTATTAAAGCCTTTAAGTACTAGTACTATTACCTTAAAAGGTTCAGGTTTATAATTAAGATTATTATAGACTATAATAATCTCTAATACTTTATAGAAATAAAGTATTTAGAAAGCTATTAAGTATATTAGGTAATATATCTTATAATATATGATTTTAATATTATTTATTATAGAGATGCCTCAAATCTAGTAAACGGACCTAGTAGAAGACCTAATTATAAAGAAGGTCCTATTAATATAACTTGGCTTCTAATCTTTTAGAATAAGTTAAAAAGAGCTTTTATAGTTATAATTCAGAAATCCTTATAGATATCTAAAGAATTTCCTCTTTAGAATAGATATTATTTAATACTTGCTATATTTATAATAGCTAAGGAGAAATATTTATTATAAGATAAATAAATAGATTATTTTATAGATTCTTTAATTATAAAATTAGTTAAGAAGTAAGGTATAGAGAAATGCCTTAAAGGCTTTACTATTATAGCTAAGGTAATAAGAATATCTATAATTATATTACTTAATAGAACTAAAGACTTCTTAGTTTCCCGAGTTTTTAAATTAGATAGTTATAAATATCTAATTCCCTATATATAGATATATATAACTACTAAAAAAGCTATAGTACTAGCCCTTTTATCTAAATTCTTTCTGGATATTATCTAGATAGTTTAGAGAAATAATTCTTAATATTAGAATATTATAAAATAGAGACTTAGTAAGAAAGATACTAAAAGAAAAGAAATCTGGAAAAATAATTCGGGCCTATTTAGGTATTATTTAAGAATTATTATATCTAATAATCCCGCTTTATATTAAGAAGTTATAAAGCTTTATTATAATAACCTAATAGCTAGATACTATAAAATAAAGAAAATTCTCGAGCTTTTTAGAAAGTCCTAGTATTAGGAGAATAT